TAGTCAAGTTACTTGTGGCTTATTCAGACAATTATGGTGAAAATCTTGCTCAGTGTGCTCCATAATAATAATATTGATGTAATGTGCTTTGCAGAGTTTTGTGTATGTATTATGTAGTAAAGTTTGAGGAAAACTTTCTTTAGCTAGTTAATTAACCTTCGCTAAAGATATCATAGTGCAAATTCTGTCAGAGTGGACCATAATTACTCAGAAAACAATGTAGTTCTATTTGCTTACCTGTCAGATGGACGAGGAGAAATTTAAAGTGTGAAGTCAGCTGTTCCATCTTCCAAGGTGCCATAACAGATATTTCCCCTTTGATTTACGTATCCTATTCAGATATGAAAATGGAATGTGACTTACCTGGAATAAACTATCACAAATCTGAAAAAAAAAAACCTTAATTTCTTGCAACCTGCTTTCATTATAATGCATTTGACTGCAATCCCATAATCAAGTCAATTTGCAATAGGTTATTGAGCACAAATCTCTATAATTCTATTCTAATGGTCCAACTCCTACAAACTGTTTTGGCACAAAATGGGCCTTAGATAGTATTCATATTTGTTAAAAAGTAGTGATACAGGATATTTCCTGTGTTGGTAGGAGTTGGGATAGATGACTTTTGAGATTTTCTCTCCTGAGTTTTTCTAGTGATGTTCCTTTACTTTGTCTTTAACACAGAACATTCACCGTGTGAAAGAATAAATGAGGAGCAGATAACTATCCTCAGCAGTATCTTTTGTCTTTTAAGCATTGTAGAAGGACAGCCATGTTCTTCATTAACCAGACATCAGAAGAATTTGGCAGCATCTTTTCCAATCAGAACATTTTGTTAAAAGGCATAAGCTTTTGCAGCTGGAGTTTGCTTCATGGGGGTGTATGTGTGGGGTGTGTGTGTCCATCTAATCTTTCAATATCATTAGCTACTCTGAAAAGGTACTCCTGGACTCCTGATTTTCTTCTACTGTTTAGAGTGGGTGTGAAAGAGTTGTGAAGTACTGAGCAGAAATCCTGCATGTATGCATTGATGTAGGTGCAGGAATTCTTCCAGGAAAGATGACAATTCCCTTGGATCACTGGGAGGAACACATCACTTTTGCTGCTTTGCTAATGTGATTTTTCGTTTTTGCGTGTGTATGTGTGTGAGGTTATATTTCTAAAGATTTACACAAACATGTCTAATACACACGCAGCTGCCTTGAACACTTTAAAAGCATTTTTAAGAGACAAGATATATTTGGTTTTATTGTATCTCCATATTATGAAATTAATCATAATTAGGACACTTTACATAGAATGAAAGCATGATTTCTTGTTTAAACCTTAAAGAAAAATTTCTAAGTAACCTGCATTGCCACATCTACTCATTCTTATTAGATATTGCTTTATATTTGGTCAGAATCCAATAGATATAGCTTTTCATATTTAGATATCATTGGGGAGACCTCCCTTTCAGATTTCTGCCTATTATACCCTCTTTAGCATGCAGCATTTAAGAGTCTGTGCATAAAAAAGGGGGAAGATTATCAGCAGTTATCAGCAAGATTTCCTTTAAGCCCCAGGATATGTTGAGATTGCTGCTATTGCTCTGGAAATCATTTAAATCATTGCCACAAAGGTCCCCCTTTTTTTCTTAAAGATTGCCAGGTTCAGTCTATGCAAGGTGGCATTATTTCCATTCTCTCCAAAAGAGAAGAAAAGCTTTTCTAAATATGCTTACCTGAACTGATACCAATAAAGGATAATATTTTGCAGCTCAGGGTTGAAATGAGGGGTCCTTGGTGCTCCCTTACTTGTTTTCTTGCAGACCTTTCATTTACCCAAACTAGCTAACATCACCAATATTAATACTGTGCTAGGACTAGCACTGATGATGTTACCTAATTGGGTTCATGAAAGGTCTGCAAGAAAACAACCGAACTCAGAGCACCAAGACCCCTGTACTTGAATTGAGTCCTTTGTGATCAGGGTGATTTTTTACAAGTAAAAATAGCTAGGATTTCATCCTTATTTTACAGTTCAGATGGGCAGTTAAGCATCTTGTGGATGCTTGCCAAACTTAGTAGCTACGTGATCTTAAAACACAAATAATAAACAAGGAGGAAATTGTCATATTGCAGTGCCCCAACTTTCTCATATTTATTTACAGCAAGATTCCCAAAATGCCCCATAGGAACCATAGAGAATTGGTGAAGAGAGGTCTGGTGAGGGAGGGTCCGTATCCATTTTGTGAGAAAAAAAATCTTTCAGCAGCCATTCTGAGCATGCCTATCACATCCTCTCAAAATCACAAACCGATTCCCATCCACAAAAGTTTGTTTAGCCTTCTTTAAGTCATGTGATGCTTTTTCAATTGGCCATTGCCTTTAATTACATAAATATATGCAGTCCATGCTTACTTCATTCTACAACTTAATGTTGATATGGTAATTTATTGGTGAATATAAAAGTAATGAGAGGCAGTTTGGTCTGGTGGTTAAAGTACCGCACTAGAAACCAGGAGACTGTGAATTTCTAGTCTAGCTTTAGGCATGAAAATTGGCAGTGGGACTTTGGACAAATCATACTCTCTCAGTCCAGCCCACCTCACAGGGTTGTTGCTGTAGGGAAAATAGTAGGAAGAAGGAGTATTAAGAATGTTCGCCATTTTGAGTCATTTATAAAAATAATAAAGATGATATTATATATATGGACTTCAGTAAGGCATTTGACAAAGTAGATCACACTACTTGATAAGATAGAAAAATGTGGGTTAGACAGCATCACCACCAGATGGATCCGTAGCTGGCTGACCAGCCATACTCAGCATGCGGTCCTCAATGGAACCACATCTACATGGAGGGAAGTGTGTAGTGGGGAGCCCCAGGGTCCTGTTCTGGGCCCAGTGCTCTTCAACATCTTCATCAACGATCTGGACGAGGGGATAGATGGGGAACTCATCCTATTTGCAGACGACACCAAGCTGGCAGGAAGAGCCAACACTCCAGAAGACAGGCTTAAGATATAGGAGGACCTGGACAGACTTGAAAACTGGGCGCTATCTAACAAAATGAAATTCAACACTGAAAAAAGTAACGTTCTACATTTAGGCAAGAAAAAACAAATGTACAGGTATAGCATAGGGGGTACCTTGCTCAATAGTAGCAACTGTGAGAGGGATCTCGGAGTCCTAGTGGACAATCACTTAGATATGAGCCAGCAGTGTGCTGCAGCTGCCAAAAAAGCTAACACAGTGCTAGGCTGCATTAACAGAGAAATGGAATCAAGATCACGCAAAGTATTAATACCACTTTACAATGCCTTGGTAAGGCCACACTTGGAATACTGCATCCAGTTTTGGTCACCACGATGTAAAAAAGATGTTGAGACTCTAGAAAGAGTACAGAGAAGAGCAACAAAGATGATTAGAAGTCTGGAGGCTAAAACATATAAGGAACGGTTACTGGAATTGGGTATGCCTAGTTTAATGAAGAGAAGGATGAGGGGGGACATGATAGCAGTGTTCCAACATCTCAGGGGCTGCCACAAAGAAGAGGGAGTCAAACTATTTTCCAAAGCGCCTGAAGGCAGGACAAGAAGCAACGGGTGGAAACTAATCAAGGAGAGAAGCAACCTAGAACTAAGGAGAAACTTCTTGACAGAACAATTGACCAGTGGAACAACCTGCCTCCAGAAGTGGTGAATGCTCCAACACTGGATGTTTTTAAGAAGAGACTGGACAGCCATTTGTCTTAAATGGTATAGGGTTTCCTGCCTGAGCAGGTGGTTGGACTAGATGACCTTGAAGGTCCCTTCCAACTTTATTATTATGGATCATCGCACAGTCAGCCAGATGTTCAGACTGGATTTGGCATTTTTGTTTACCTATCGAGTCCTTACCAAAGACCTGGGATAAGCAGATGTGGATGTCTGATGGTATTACAGATATCGTTGCAGGATGGAAGCAGTTCTTAGTAAGGCCACCTTTTGCAATTGACTAATGGCGAATTTGTCAATGCCAATTGTGTTCAAGTGGTGCTCAAGTTGTTTTGGGATTGCACCCAAGGTACCTATTACTATTTGGTACTACCCTTGCTTGCTTTTGCCACAGTCTTTCTATTTCTATTTGTAGGTCTTGGTATTTTGTTATCTTCTCCAGTTCTTTCTCGTCTATTCTGCTGTCTCCAGGCACTGCCATGTCCACTATCCAGACTTTTTTGTCTTTCTTATCTACAATTGTTAATCTGGGGTGTTATGTTGCAGGTGCTTGTCTGTTTGAATTCTGAAGTCCCAGAGCAGTTTAATTTTATCATTTTCTATGACTTTCTCTATTTTATGATCCCACCAGTTCTTGTTTACAGGCAGATGATATTTTTTGCAGATCTTCCAATGCACCATTGTTGCTACTTTGTCATGCCGCTGCTTGTAGTCAGTCTGTGCAATCTTCTTGCAACAGCTTACCAGGTGGTCCACTGTTTCTTCAGCTTCTTTGCATAGGCGGCAATTATTTGCTGTTGCTGTCTTCTCAATTTTGACTTTGTATGCATTTGTCCATAAGATTTGGTCTTGTGGAGCCAGAATTAGTCCCTCGGTCTCTTTCTTCAATTTTCTTGCTCTTAGCCATTGCCAGGTCTTGTTATTATCTGCTTTCCCAGCTTTTTTTTTTTAAATGTACTGGCCATGCAGTGCTTTGTGTTCCCATGCCTCTATTCTGTTCTTCATTTGGTCTTTCTTGTAGGCCAGTTTGGTCTCTCCAGTAGTCAGTAAGCCTTCCTGATATACTAATTTCATTATTATTATTATGGATCATCGCACAGTCAGCCAGATGTTCAGACTGGATTTGGCATTTTGTCTACCTATCGAGTCCTTACCCAGGACCTGGGATAGGCAGATGTGGATGTTTGATGGTATTTATTATTATTATTATTATTATTATTATTATTATTATTATTATTATTATTATTTAGTGTGTGATCCCATTATTCTTTGGTTTATAGTAGGAATAACTGATCCTATTTTGGTTCAAGGTTCCAGAAGCCTTTATGGAGGTGACTGTGCGTTCAAGTGATGTGCAGCACACACACTTGGGTCGCCGACAGAAAACATCATACAAGAACAGTGTTCAGGGGAATGATTGGATCGCGGCCTCCTTAGGTAAGGTCTACAGAATGATAAATAGTTGTTGAAATCAACAAACCATTAGCACTAGGTCAGTGGTTCTCAACCTTTTTAATGCCGCGACCCCCAACCGGTCGTAAGTCGAGGACTACTCAACTGGTGCAGCACCGTTTGCAGAATGGGACTTTTGGCAGGCTCATCAGGGCAGAGACAGCCTGGACAATTCCTATTGGCTTTTGAAAGCCAATAGAATTAGACTCTACTCAAGAGTGTCTATTCTATTGGCTTTCAAAAGCCAATAGAATAAATGGGAGTAGCACAGCTAAGGAAAAGGGGAAAAAAATGGCGGACTGTGTTGTTTGGTGACCCCCGTGAAACGGTCGTTCGACCCCAAATGGGGTCCCCCCCACAGGTGGAGAACCACTGCACTAGGTGGTGTTCTCCTTCACTTTGGAAAACTTTAAATGGTTGTCATTTTTCAAAGCTCGCCTATTGTAGAACACCAGGTAATCCTCAATTTAACAACAGTTCATTTAGAGACCATTAGAAGTTACAACGGTACTGAAGAGAGTGATTGATGACCTTTTTCACACTTGCGACTGTTGCAGCACCCCCATGGTCACGTGATCAAAATTCAGACGTTTGCTAACTGACTTATATCTATGATGGTTGCAGTATCATGTGGAAATGTGTGAAGCTGACATAAATTACATGATCCTCAGTCTAGCTTGCTCACATAATTTGTTCTACCAACTACTAACCGTTCTCAAGGATTTCAATTAGGACTAGGAGTAAAAAGAAATTATCTGGAGAAGCCAGATGTCGAACCTCAACTTACAATCACAGTTGAGCCCAAAATTTGTGTTACTAGGCGAGACAAAGTTGTTAAATGAATTTTGCTCCATTTTACAACTTTTCTTGCCACAGTTGTTAAGTGAATCACTGCAGTTAAGTTGGTAACATGGTTGTTAAGTGAATCTGGCTTCCCCATTGACTTTAATTATGACCAAAGGTTATGACATGACCCCGAGATTCTACAACAGTCATAAATACATGCCAGTTGCCAAGCTTCTGAATTTTCATCATGTGGACACAGGGATGTTGCAAAAGTGTTAAGCATGAAAAACAGTCGTGTCACTTTTTTCAGTGTAGTTGTAACTGAAAATGGCCACTAAATGAATGGCTGTAAGTCAAGGACTATCTGTACCAATATTCCATCTGGAGTGTCAGAGACTAAGTCTCATGCCACAGATCATTCAGCGGGTACATGAATCACAGCTTGGTCCCTGTTGCCGTATTGCACCAGCTCTCAGCAAACGCATCTGCCTTTTTTGATCTCCTGCAGGCCGACCTCATTACCACCCTTCCGAGCTGCTCTCCCGCCTGGATCGTGGAGAAGAGGCCTGGGTCCCACAACTCCAGAGCTCTGATGAAAGTGCAGATGAAGGCCCAATTAAGCCAACACTGAAGCAGTTACCGAAGGGAGGCACCTGGTGGGCTCGATATCGGAGTCCTGTGACATACCCCAGTTCAGAGTCTGCAAACTCAGGTTAGAACTGCTGCTGAAGGTCTCTGGCTTAAAGGCCTAAGGAAGTGGCTACGTTCTAAGATACCGTGAACATTTTGCCATTTTAAGAGAGTAGAAGAGCAATCCAATTCTAGTGGTGGGATTGGATCCAGCTCATTGTCTGGATTCACATATTATGCTAAGTCACAATGACATTTGGTTTACTATTTTGGCTTGGTGGGATGCATTAAACCAGCTATTGTGGTTTGTGAACTATGGCATAGGGCAGGGGTCTCCAAACTTCAGCCCCAGGTGACCTGGTTGTTAGTATTAGCACTCCACTTAAAACTCCGTCCCAGCAAAAAGACCTTTCCCCTATGCCAGGGGTCTCCAAACATGGCCACTTTAAGACTTGTGGACTTCAACTCCCAGCATGGCTGACTGAGGAATTCTGTGAGTTGAAGTCCACAAGTCTTAAAGTGGCCATGTTTGGAGAGCCCTGGCATAGGGGGTGAACAGCTCTTTCTGCTGGGAGGGAGAATCAGGTGGAGTGCTAATGGTAACAGCCAGGAAATCTGTGGCTGAAATCGATGAAAATTGCCCATTTGGCTGATGAAATTTAAAGTACAACTCTAAGGAGTTCCAGGCTCACAGATCACCCACCACTGGATTAAATCTTAGCAATAGTGGCTGGCTTTACTACAGTAGAAACTTATTAATCAGGGGTTGGGGTGCATCTGTCAATCATCCTATGGACCATCAAGCTAAGCATCCTTCCAGCTGCCAAGTCCAAATTAATAGTTTTTAGTGGCTTGGCTGCTGCATTTTTGCATTTTCTTTTGGAAATATTGGAGGGCGAGGGAAATGGTGGGTCAATCATGACCAGAATGCTGCATGGAGATGGAGGACAGCTGGGACTTTCTAATGTGTTAACTTTCAGTTAACTCAAGCAAGCTGTAACAGGGAGGGAAGCCTTTTTTGTAGGGCTCTTCAGGTGCCATATCTGAAGAGGTGCCAGCAAAGTGCAGGAAATCTGCAGCACTTCTTTGAGGGCATGAAAAAGTGAATGATCCATCCGTGGAAGAAAGGACCTTTTGGCAGTTCAACGAACAGGCATTTGCTGGTTTGTCCCCAAGGAGATTGCTTGTTTGTCAAGCAGGGCTGTGGGCACAGTGGTGCTCCCACTTCCTTCCTTCCTTCCTTCCTTCCTTCCTTCCTTCCTTCCTTCCTTCCTTCCTTCCTTCCTTCCTTCCTTCCTTCCTTCCTTCCTTCCTTCCTCCCTCCATGGTAGACCCCTAGTGTAGACTGCAATAGTTGGGGGAACACTGTTCCAGGGGGCAGGAGTGGCAACAGAAGAGGCCCACTTCTGCGATTCCATAATATATTTCAAGGGGGGAGATCCTGAGTGTACCAACCCTGTTGGATCTTATGGGATAGTAAGAGACAATTGGAGAGATGTGCCCCTCCCCCAGAAAAAAAACAGATCTTCATTAAAGATGACCATCATTAACAATCCTGAATTGCATTTAGAAGCCAAGTGGCACTAGTGCAGCTTGTGCACTAACAATATAACCCTCTTGCACTGCCACTTCCCCCCCCCCTTTTATTTTTGGGACTGTAGATAATGATCAAGAAAGTGAAGAAGAGAAGCTGCATCGTGGAAGTTATCCTCATCGTGGAAGTTATCCTCATCGTGGAGGCTTTCAACCGACGATCCTTCGCCGAAACTTATTTAATAATTCCAAGGGGAGTGGATCGCAGAGTCTGAAGCCTAAAGAAGCCTATAAACATGGGTCCCAGTTGAAGAAGTCTTCACAAAGTCATCTGGGAAAGACAAAGGCAGAAACGGGCAATGCCAATGAGAGCTCAACCAAAGAAAGAGCTGCAGGAAGGGACCAGCAAGTCTCATGCCCTGATTGTGGACAAATCTTCAAATCCAAAATATCTCGTGCCAATCACCAGAGGATACATACTACAATGAAGGCCTACACATGCCCTCACTGTGAAGAAAGGTTTTCATCCAAAAAAGTCCTTGAGTGCCACCAGAAGTGTCACAGAGCAGAAGTGGGCCACAGACCTTCCTACAGCCTTGTGAAGCATCAAAACATGAGGCTCTATGAATGTTTGGCCTGCAAGAAATCTTTTGAGCTCAAAGAGCAATTCCTCCTGCATCAAAAGAGCCACACAATTCAGCAGTCTCACGAGTGCCCTGAATGTGGCGAAACCTTTGTTTGTAAGGAACTTCTTGACAAACATCAAAATTGCCACACAACATCCAAAAACAACAGAAAGAAGGATAAGAAGGAAGGAAAGATAGAAAGTGCGCCTGAAACTACAAAAAAGAAAGAAAGTACAGCCCCTGTCTCTGGGGGCCCTAGATCACTGAACATTGGCCTCACTAGACAGCAGCAAGACCAAGTCAACCTCCATAAATGTCAGTTTTGTGGGAAATGCCTAAGGTTCAAAAGTTTGCTTGTGGACCACGAGAGAATGCACAAGGAAGCAAAGCCATATCAATGTTCCCAGTGTAGTAAAAGCTTCCTCCATAAGCCCATTTTGATGTCACACATGATGACCCATATGAAACAGGCGTCCAGGAAACATCCAAAGAAAGTTAAAAGCTTGGCTGTGAAAAGTGCCTTGGTTGATTCGGAGAACTCTCACAAAAGAGGAAATACCTCTAAATGCCCAGTTTCCAGAAAAATCATCACTCGTAGCTCTTACCGCGTTTGGGGCCCAAGAAAACAGGCACAGAAAAGACCCTATCAGTGTCAATATTGTGGGAAATGTTTAAGCACGCGTGTCACGCTTGCTGATCATGAGAAACTCCACATGGGTGAGAGACCTTATAAATGCCACAAATGTACAGAAAGTTTCATTCGAAAACACCACCTTTTCCGACACCTAGAGAATCACCAAAGAGAACTCTCCAATGGTGATGTCAAAAGTTTGAGGATCCAAAGTCACCACGCTTTACCAGAAGGAATCCACCATGGACAGGAGACTCCTGAAGGTCTTCTCCCTGCAAGTGATGTCACTCGCCACTCGGGCCTTGCCAAGCACCCCAAAATCCCCACTCAGGAGAATTACATATGTCAGCATTGCGGGAAACGCACGAGAACCAAAAGCTCCTTTGTCAATCATGGGAAAATCCATAGGGGAAAGCAACAGCCGTATCCCCACTTGGAACGTGGGGAAAATACCTCCCAAGAAAAACCTCTGGCTTCCCACCAAGAAACCCACGTGAGGGGAAAACTCTCTCTGTCCTCAGACTCCAAGGACAAAATGTGCCCAAAAGATCCCCCCTTCCCCCTCAGGGTTCCCCACAGAAAAAACCAGCCCCAACTCTGTCAAAAATGTGGAAAAACCTTTGATAGTAACTACTCCTTCATCAGGCATCAACTGACCCACTCTGGGCAAAAGCCTTTCAGATGTGCCGCCTGTGGAAAAGACTTCATCCAGATGTGGCATCTGAAGAGACATGAGAAGACGCACCTGACAAGAAAATTCCCCCAACAGCCCGTTGTAAGGAAGGTCAACCATGAAAATAGCCAGCCGGACCGAAAGCTCTTCAAATGCTCTCTGTGTGGGAAAGGCTTCTTTCAACCAAAGCACCTGAAAACACACAAGAGGATTCACCTGAATGAAGAATGCCGTAAACTATCTTCAATCATGGAGATAACACGGGCATTTTCTAATTTCCCGAGTGGCACAGCTTCTAAGGAGAAAAGTCAGGGAGGTCCTCTTGGAAAAGCGTTGCTGCAGCTACCAGGTGAGGTTGTCGGCTCGCCACATGCCCAGGAATTAAAGAGAGTCCTCCTGGTGGCATTAGAAGAAAGATTAGACACAGGAGCTTCAGAAAAGCATATTACTACGCCAGTGCAATTATCTAGAAAATTCCAAGAAAATATTTTGTTGGGCTATGGGAAAATCAGTCAGGCAGCGAAATCAGAGAGGAAACCAAGACAAAAGGACATATTCTCTACTCATCAGCCCAGGACCTGCTCCAAAAACGCCCATTCCCCAAATCATAAGAAGGAGAAAAACCACGACGGCTGGCAATTGAGACCTCGGGCGTCCTCCATGAGAAAATCTAAGAGAGAAATACAGCTTGTGGGGAAAAGGTCCAAACGTTGCTTTTGCCAACGAGAAGAACGAGAAATGGTCCGCCCAAATGCATCCAAACCCCCCAGGAAAGTAAACTGTTGCGATGGTCCTCAAAGGGTTTCCTTCAGTTTGTTTCAAGGGGCATCCAAGAACCAGAAGCCAAAGGATCTTTGCTTCAAACTGCCCTGCCAGAAAACGTTCTCCAGAGAAGCCCAAATGAAAGTTGCCAAAAGTGTTGCGCAAAGGGACACAGTCTCTGTGGCTCAGGAAAGGAAATCGCTTGAGGCCAATTCTGGCTGTCGGAGTTGTGAGAAAGACAAATGCAAGCCCTCCAACGTCAGGGATCCGGCAGAGACCCAGCCTGTGCCACCGTTGTCCAAAAGCAAGACCCCGCAGGACCATGAACGATTCTGCCCTCTAAATGCGTACTCAAATGCTACCGCCCAGAACTTGGGGACAGCATCTTTGGCTCAGCAGCTGGGAGAGATCCAGAATCCACGAAGGATACAGAAGAGAGTAAAGGGTAGACGCAGCGTTGAACTGCAAAAAAAGATATCGAGGAAGCTCCAAAGCTCGCCTTCTGAGGGAAAAGCCGCCTGTGATCAGCACGTCTGCAGCCAGTGCAAGAAATCCTTCCGTAGTCGGACCAATCTCTTGATTCATCAGAAGAATCACACTGAGAACAGACCGTTCCCATGCATCCAGTGTAAGAAAAGTTTCTTTTCTGTGACGGCCCTTAAGGTCCACATGCGGATCCACACAGGAGAGAAGCCTTTCAAGTGCTCCGAATGCGACTTTTGCTGCAACTTTTTGTGTAATCTCAACAAGCACAAGGCCAGTCACAGCCAGGAAAGCCTCCACCCTTGCATACATTGTGGGAAAAGCTTCTGTCTGAATCCTAAACTTGTGACTCATTTAAAGTTTAGTGGCAAGAAGAAGGCTTATGCCTGCCCTAGTTGTGAACAAGCAGCTGTGCACAAGAACCTTCTAAAGCGGAAGAGGAAGAAGTTCTGATGTGATTTAGAAGCTGAATCCTATTGTGAGAAAATGATAGGCCACATCATTCTTCCAGCACTCTTTACACTCAAAATTGGGAACATATTCAAGCACTCTTTCTTGGCTTCCCCCCATGAAGCATTAGAGGAGGCCCCTGGCAAACACCTTTAGTCCATAGTGTCTCACCTCTTTGCCATTATCTCAATAAAATTCTTCTTAAGTTGGATCAGAAGATCACTTGTAGAACCCCTTCTTCCATTCCTCCAAGAATCTGAGTGAAGCTGCCAGAAAGATGCCCCACTTTGGTGAAAATAGAGATTTTTATTCAGAAAGATAATCAAAATATTGCCCTTGGAATTACCTCTAACAAATGCATAAACATCAGTCTAGGTTTGTGGTTTTCCTAACCCTAACCCTAATTATTTTTTTAGGGGTTTTTTTGCAGGTTCTTTGTATCTAGGACCAGCCACAAAGAATGTTGCATTTTGAGAGGGAGACCGAAGGCATGTATAATTTGAACAAAGATATTCAAATGAGATCTCCTTATGTCCTATTTTGGCCATAATATTTTGAGTCCGTCTTGCAACTTTAATTTTAGATCAGGGAGGGTGGTTGTAAGTTGGAATTGTTATCTTTGAATTCAAGATCCAAATTCGGGTCAAATTGACTCACATGTTCTCTTGAAAATCCAATAGATCCAATTATCAACATGTCTCCTTGTAAATAATAATGTCTGTAGAAGACATTATTTGAAGTACTGTATCTTCCAATTTTTTGCCTATTTTTATAATGCTGATCTTACCTCTTTCCCCATTCCTTCTCTGAATTCCTAGTTTTCAATGTAAGGTAGCAGCCATAATACACATGATTGTTTTATCTTTGATTAATCATGTTTAATTCCAAGTTTGTTCCAGTCATCTTGGACTTACTGAATATCTTTACAATTATCTGACTTTTATTTTAAAATAAATGTTTTTTTTAAATATATTGTTTTATGTCTGATCATCTTGAGGTTTTTTTCCCTCCAATAAATAGTGGACTCTTTCTGATAGAATGTAATTTGGGATGAAATTCTTTTTATATAATAAGTGCATATTGTAAACAGCCAAGTGCAGGGGTAGGCAACCTTGGCTCTTTTATGACTTGTGGACTTCATCTCCCAGAACTCCTGAGCCAACCATGCTGAGGGAAAAAGGAGAGGTTTCCAAGCTGAGCCATGCTGGCTCAGGAATTCTGGGAGTTGAAGTCCACGAGTCATAAAAGAGCCAAGATTGCCTACCCCTGGCCCAAGTGTTTCAGCCCAAACTTCTTTATCAAATTTATATGCCAGCCTTTTCGTGGTTTGAGGTGTCTGAGTTTCACATATGGGTTCATCTCATACATTCTGACATTTTGCTTTTGCAGTGAAAAGTTCACAACATGCATGTTGGGAGATGACTCAGTTGCTTACTGAGCAATTACTACTATTCTACAGGATCTGTAGACTTCTATTCTTCCAGAGCTGTGAAGAAGACCCTCCACAGATGCAAAGCAAAAGATCTGTTGCGGCTTCTCTTGCAGCTCCATTGATTTTTTTCCCTTTTCAGCCATTTGACCAAGTTGAGAATATAGAATAACAGAGTTAGAAGGGGCCTTGGAGGTCTTCTAGTCCAACTCCCTGCTCAAGCAGGAGACCTTATAGTACCATTCTGGACAAATGGCTGTCCAATCTCTTCTTAAAAACCTCCGCTGAGGGAGCACCTACAAGTTCTGAGAAGAACATGATCAGTAGGGTTTCCTACTTGAGCAGGGGGTTGGACTAGATGACCTCCAAGGTCCCTTCCAACTTTATTATTGTTATTGTTGTTAGATGGCTTTAGAATGGGGTTAAAACAGATTCTTTTTTGCTACCAACATTCAGGGTAAAACTCAGTGTTTAAAGAAAGTAGATCTTTCTGGACTAGATCATGGCAAACAGAGATACATTCCAGTGGAAGTTGATCACTTGAAGATGTGATAGAATTTGCATTCTCTAAATTCTAGGTTGGATCTCTTCATATATCAAACAAATGGTATCTTGAACACATACTAGTTTGCCAACCACAATGACAGTGTTTAAAGAATATGGACTTAATTTGATGTGCAAAAGATTTATTATGATTGATTCAACAAACTAGTTAGGTGTAAACAATTAGCAGCAGGGTAAGTTTGGCTTTTTCCATATATATTCATGTGCAGGTTTTAGAGTTTGCTTTATAAATGAGACCTGCTTGAGCTGGGCCAGTTATTGCAATACATGAACCTGATCCAAGTTTGATTAAAGGGTCACTTTTATTTTTATAATTGTGATCCAACAGACTATCTTCTGGTTTGGATTTTAAAAATCCTGTGATTCAGAATTAAAGAAATATGGTTATCATTTGGTAGACAAAGCAGGCTGTAGGCTTTTGAGACACACAGAACATTTAGAATAGAATAGAGCTGGAAGGGACTTTGGAGGTCTTCTAGTCCAGCCCCCTGCTCAAGCAGGAAAATTTATACCGTCCCAGGCAGGTGAGTGTCCAGTCTCTTCTTGGTCAGGTAGATGTCATAGAACCACAGAGTTGGAAAGGAAGCAAGGAGTCATCATGTTCAATACCTTGCCCTGGCTGGGGAATTCTGGGAGTTGGTTCACATATCTATTTTTTTTTATTAGAGTTCTTCAACAGAATAAAAGCACACTTGCAGAACTGATAAAAAAAAATATAAGAATAGTCTCCCGTTGCTCTTTTCTATTTGTCCATTAATCCCAGCAAAAAAGATTCTGGTTTCAGTTGAATATTAATTTTTTAAAAAATCTTTGCGTTATCCTGTTTGTTTGAACCCAACATTTTCAGGCTTTTTTACACGTCGACTAGGAATAATAAAATGATCATGTTGTTCACATTTCCAATTAAATTTGAAATAGGTTTATACATTCTAATCTAGACAATTTTTCCGGAGTCCTATATCAACAATACATCATTTTATAATCTTAAGTTTTAATATGAATTTCAGTACTGTCCACGGTTCCAGCGATATGGTATCATTTTATCATACTGTCTTTCACTTGTTCTTCCATTTCAAATTTCAATAAAAGTTGATACATTTTAGCAATTACATGTTCACCATTTGTATATAATTTAAGTTCAAATTCTGTGTTCTGCTCAATTTAAAATGTTCTACTACTATGTCTTCTGTAAATCTTTCTCTTAATTGAAGCCCACACATCTAAAAGCTGTTGAGGTTGAGAAACACTAGCATAGACCAACAGTTGTATCATTTATTTATTCACCACCCATCTTGCGGTCCTGCAAATCTGGGTGGCATACAATATGTCTGCAGCTCATTGCCTTCTAGTCAATCAACCACATTTTGTTTCAAGGTTATTCATTTTCTTTTTTCCATATTTGTTTACTAAATTTTATGTAGGTGGCTCCTAACATTGCCTTGTGCAGACTGCAAAACAAATTCATATCAAGAGGATGAGTTCTTTATTGTTAGAAGATAGAATTTAAAGAGGAGTAATCTATAGATCCTTGTGTAGGTGTTCATGTAGGCTTCATAAGGTGAGCAATTAGCTAATGAGATAATGGCAATTTAATAATAATAATAAAGTTGGAAGGGACCTTGGAGGTCATCAAGTCCAACCCCCTGCTCAGGCAGGTAACCCTATACCATTTCAGACAAATGGCCGTCCAGTCTCTTCTTAAAAACTTCCAGTGTTGGAGCATTCACCGCTTCTGGAGGCAGGTTGTTCCACTGGTTAATTGTTCTAACTATCAAGAAGTTTCTCCTTAGTTCTAGGTTGCTTCTCTCTTTGGTTAGTTTCCACCCGGTGCTTCTTGTTCTGCCTTCAGGCGCCTTGGAGAATAGCTTGACTTCCTCTTCTTTATGGCAACCCCTGAGATATTGGAACACTGCTATCATGTCTCCCCTCGTCTTCTCTTCATTAAACTAGACATACCCAATTCCAGCAGCCGTTTCTTATATGCCTTAGCCTCCAGTCCCCTAATCATCTTTGTTGTTCTTCTCTGTATTCTTTCTAGAGTCTCAACATCTTTTTTACATCGCGGTGACCAAAACTGGATGCAGTATTCCAAGTGTGGCCTTACCAAGGCATTGTAGAGTAGTATTAATACTTTGCGTGATCTTGATTCTATCCCTCTGTTAATGCAGCCCAGCACTGCGTTGGCTTTTTTGGCAGCTGCAGCACACTGCTGGTTCATATTTAAATGATTGTCCACTAGGACTCCGAGATCCCTCTCACAGTTGCTACTATTGAGCAAGGTACCCACCATGCTATACCTGTACATTTGGTTTTTCTTGCCTAAATGTGGAACCTTACTTTTTTCACCATTGAATTTCATTTTGTTAGATAGTGCCCAGTGTTCAAGTCTGTCCAGATCCTCCTGTATCCTAAGCCTGTCTTCTGGAGTGTTGGCTATTCCTGCCAGCTTGGTGTCATCTGCAAATTTGATGAGTTCCCCATCTATCCCCTCGTCCAAATCATTGATGAAGATGTTGAAGAGCACTGGGCTCAGAACAGAGTCCTGGAGCACCCAACTACACTCTTCCCTCCATATAGATGTGGTTCCATTGAGGATCACATGCTGAGTACAGTCGGTCAGCAAGCTATGGATCCATCTGGTAGAGATGCTGTCTAACCCGCATTTTTCTATCTTACCAAGTAGTAGGTTGTGATCTACTTTGTCAAATGCCTTACTGAAGTCCAAGTAAATTATATCCACAGCATTACTCTGGTCCACTAATTTTGTCACTTGGTCAAAGAATGCAGTAAGGTTTGTCTGGCATGATCTGTTTTTGACAAACCCATGTTGGCTTTTAGTAATGGCTTTGTTTGCCTCTGGTGTTCCCTGATTCATTGTTTATCTTTTTCAGAATCTTCCCAGGTATCGAAGTCAGGCTGATAGGTTTGTAATTTCCTGGATCCATTTTTTCCCTTTTTTTGTAGATGGGAACTACATCAGCTCTTTTCCAGTCCTCTGGTAGTTCCCCTGTGCTCCAGGATCTTTG